CCCAGATCATGTGAACTTGAAACACATTTGGGTTAGTTCCTACTTTTTCTGAGAGAATACTTAATTTATATAAGGACTTTTTAAAAGCTAATTAAATAGAGCTCTTTTACAAGTTAACTTTGACAATACCATCTGCAGGTGGAAAAATAACACATGTACATAACACACACACACATGTAAACATACACGCAGGCAAAAACAGACCTCTTCTAGCTCTTATTTTAAAATCGTAGCCATTTTCAAGGTACCATACAACAAAAGTCACTAGTTTATAAAAAGACAGCTGGCCTCAAATTGTGTGTCTCGTAGATGGAGTAAGTCAAGGTCACCTACTCACGTGGCCTAAGCTGTTTACTAGTATTTGTGAAGAAGATGTAAGATTTTTAAATTTGTCCTTGATTGGTAATCCTATGGAGACCGTGGACTAGATTTCAGGCAAGGGACTTTTCAAAGCAGTTTTTGCTTTTTTTCCCCCCAGTCTCAGGTGGTGGGGACAGGGGTCATTTTTCAGTTATCGCCTCGGTGTTTAAGTTTTAAAGACATGGTAAGATTTACATTTTCAAGGGACTGAGAAAGGTTGTAGGTATTCTTCAAGGAGTTTTGGGCCATATTTGTCTATTATCAGAGATCTAGAGTGATTTAAAAANAGGTGCTCATCGCAAGCCCCAGGTTGTTTTACCAGTGCTTCTGACCCACTGGCTATAAATCAGGGTCCCCAGGACCCCTCCTCAGATTCGATTAATTTGCTAGAGAAGCTCACAGAAATCAGGGAAACATTTAACTGACATGTACAATTTGTCGTAAAAGACATTACAAAGGATACAGATGAACAGCCAGATGGAAGGGACGCACAGGGCGAGGTATGGGGAGGGGGCGCGGAGCTTCCATGCCTCTCCAAGTGCAACACTCTCTGGGAACCTCCATGGGCTCAGCTATCCCAAAGCCTCACCCTCTCCCCCAACCCGGTCCTTTTGGGAATTTCTGGAGGCCTCACTACACAGGTGCGATTGACTGAATCACAGGCCACTGGTGATCACCTCAACCTGCAGCCCCTCTCCCCTCCCCGGAGGTTGGGGTTGGGCTGAAAGTCCTAACCCAGCTCCAGTCCTGCCTTGATCATTCTGGTGACAGGCACCCCCCTGAAGCTGTCTCAGGGCTGCCAGCCACCAGTCGGCTCATTAGCATACAGGAAGGCAGCACTTTGGGGACTTAAAGTCGAGAAGTTGTATGCCAGGAAACAGGACTAAGAACTAATGTACATTTCACAATGTCGCAGTTACCTAAAAGGTTATGGAAGCTATTTTTAAGTAGACATGTGTTACAAAGCATGAAAAGTTTATGGATAAGCTTTTATCCCATGTACATTTGTTTAATTTGCTTGGTTTGAACAATTATGTTTGAATTGTTCATGAAAACTTTGTGAGACATTAAACAAAGCTGTCATCTTAAATTATCTTCTTCTTGTAGATGAATCAGGTCAGTATCAAAAAAACCACAAAAGCAGGGCCGGCCNGGGCACAGCCAGGCACAGCCGGGCACAGCCGGGCACAGCCGGGCACAGCCAGGCACAGCCGGTGCGTGTTCCTGGGCCAGAGTCAGACTGATGTTTGGCTGCCGGCGTTGCACACGTAACCTGCGTATCGGGGCCTGGAGGTTAGGTGGCGGCGCTTTCTCTCAACTTTACAGGGAAAGGGTAAAATAGGTAGCTGGGCATTTAAGGGAGTTTTGGGGAAGCTGGAGCCGTTTTAAGAGTATAAGGAATTTGCTGAAGAAATAGAATCAGATTTTGAGGGGGGTCTGGGACACAGAGTTGGAGGTAGAGAGAGCCCAGGTGGGTGTGGATTCTAACTTCTGCTCTAAGTCTGACCCTATGCTTTCATTTTGTTAAGGGAGACCTAGGCCGACTCAGTATACGCCCTTGTGTCCTTTTAAAATTTGATCTGCCCATAGCTGCCAGTAGGACATTGTTTAGGACGAGAGCTCTCTAAAAAGTACTTTGAGATGCAAAGGTCCAAATCTTCAGAGATGTGCCCCCCTTTAGAAGAGACTAAAACCAGTGAGCCTGTTTATGGCTCAACCGTGAGCACAGGGTGTGTGTCCCAGGACAGCGCAGAGGGTGCGGTCTCCCTGGAGAAACAGAGACTCTCCTAAAGAGCCTAAGAAAACAAAGACCCTCATCGCTGAGAAAGGCGAGGAAGGCTGAGCCCACAGTCCCCTTGTGGACGGGACCCCCATTGAAACAAACTCCCGAGAGCTGATGCAGCTCTCGCGCTGGCGGGGACAGGGCCAGCCTCACCCCAACGCCCCGTCCTCTGGTCCCCGCACCTGTACTTCATCCATTAGAGGGACGCCCACACGCCAGACCTGTCGTTCTCTTATACAGCAGTAGTAGACAATGAGAAAAGGAGCCGCGACAAGTGGAAGGAGGAAAAGCCAATACAGCCATTCTCTGCTACCTAAAAGTGGGAAAAAGAAAAAACGTCTCAGTAAGGTCAGGAAGTGACATCGTTTCCAGCAGCCACATGATAAAGAACCAACCAACCAACAAACGTCCCTGCTCACTGGCGTGGAGGACACCACCAGCCCCAGGGACAGGGCCGGTGAGCTGGCCTCTTCCGGCCTGGCCTGGCCTTTCCTGGAGCCCAAGCCCCTCAGGGGACAGGGGATAGGGAGGAGAGGCTGTCTCAGGCTGGCACACCTGAGGGCAGGGAGGACAGGCCCCTCCTGCAGGGCAGCAGCGGCAGGCTGAGAATCATAAGCCAAATAAACCTCCGTTCTTTATAAATTACCCAGTCTCGGGTGTTCTGTTTCAGCAGCACAAAAGCAGGCTAATACGACTGGCAGGTATTTCCACGTTTTCTTTAAGGAGTTTTATAGTTGTAGGGCTGACATTTAGGTCTTTGACCCATTTTGAGCTCGTTTTTGTGACTGGTACAAGGTAAGGGTCCAGCTTCATGCTTCTGCATGTGGATGTCCAGCTTTCCCAAGACAGATTGTTGACGAGACCCGTCTTTCCCCACTGAATGGTCTTCACTCAAAGGAGTATTGGTTTATTTGTGTGTCTTTCTTTGGGGCAATTGGCTGGTTCAGGGATCCGAACCCTTGACCTCGGTGTTGTAAGCCAGGCTCTAACCAACTGAGCTCACCGGCCAGCCCAGGTTTATTTATTTCAAAAGACAATTTAAAAATTACAGTAACAGATGAATGAGTAGAAAATACAGCACGTGTGCGAGGGAAACTCAGAAGCTGACGAAAGTGTGGTGTCACCTCTTCATTCTACTTTTCCATGAACTTTTTGCAGTCCCTGCGTGTGTGTGTATATGTATGATTACTCAGCCACAAAAAGGAAGGAAGCACCAGCACATGCTACAACGGGGATGACCCTCAGAAACACGATGCAGAGTGAGATGAGCCAGTCACAGAAGGCCACGCGTCATGTCATGTGGCTCCAGTCATATAAACTGTCCAGACTGTGCGAATCCACAGGGACAGGAAGTGGAACGGTGGCTGTCAGGGGCTGGGGGAGGGGAGATTGGGGAGCAGAGATTTCTTTTGGGGTGATGTAAATGTTTTGAAACTAGACACAGGTGGTGGCATTAAGTGCCACTAAATTGTTCACTTTCAAATGGTTAATATTATATTATGCAAATTTCACCTAAACGAAAAATACACATATTTAAAAAAAAATCTTCTCTTACTTGGGTCAGTCACGCTGCATATTGTGTCTGCAGTGGAGTTGCATTCTTGGAGGACGATGCTCCCTTGGGTACACCTGGGGGGAGAGACACATCCTCAGCGTTCCCCTCTGTCTGCCCAGACCTTCTGGGGCCCTGGGACCCTGTCATCTCCAACACAAAGTGGGCTCTGGGCCATGGTGTGGCTGGAGACCCCATGAAGGGACTGGGCCCACAGACAGCCACAGAGCTGTCACTGCCCTAAACCAGCATCTCAGACATCGACATTGAGATTCTTACTAACAATGACAGGTGCTCACCTGTTCTCTTCTGGGAGCACTTACAGCCGGGCTACTAGGCCTATGGACTGAAGAAAAAAAGGAATTTCTGCTGCTTTTAATAAGGGTTCAGGAATTTAGGAATTCCTCCCTAGTTGCTGGAAATTACAGGCGCGTACTCACGCTCGTTGGGAGCACTTACAGCCGGGCTACTAGGCCTATGGACTGAAGAAAAAAAGGAATTTGTGCTGCTTTTAATAAACGTTCAGGAATTTAGGAATTCCTCCCTAGTTGCTGGAAATTACAGGCGCGTACTCACGCTCGTACAACGTTGAACAGCAAGGCTGGGACTAAGAAGGATTTCCTGGCAACTTACAAGCTCTCCACACCTTCCTTAAAGGCGACAACCACAGATTTCTCTAAAAATCATTCATGTGTCCCTTGCTTCCTACCATAATCTGGGTTCCCCACCCTGTCCTGGGAATGAACGAGGCTTATTCTGAGACCCCAAACTGCAGAGTCACAAAGCACTGGAGAAATCTCCAGGCCAGATACCGTTTAAGGAGGCTAAAGTCCTGTCCAGCCTGCCGCTCTGCTTTCTGTTGACTGAAACCAGCTTTGGAGATGTTGGGCATGCAAGTCCTGTGTCCCCCGAGGCCACAGTAGGTCCTACACGGGAGCATCCCTGGTGAGGCCTCTGGACACTGGAGGACACTGGTGAGAAGCCCCCAGACTTGTGCACCCAGCCAGTCAGGCTTCGTCATAGGCAACGACACGGTCTCCGTCCCGCACCCTTGGCTACAGCGTTTTGGTGCATGTGCTTCAGCAGAGACTCGAGGGAGACGGCTGCGAGCAGGGAGCATGGAGGGCAGGGCCCAGCAGGGCGGGGAAGGGAGGGCCCTGACTGACAGCTGGCGCAGACCTTCAGAGCAGTGGTCCAGGGGACCGAGGGACAGAGCATTCTGTGATGGATGAAAAACAGGGCAATAGAGACTTGGAAAAAGTGAAGTCTGAAAGCGGCAAGTCATGTATTACAAAGGGAAGGCCGATCAGAAAACTCTAGGAGAGAGAAAGGAACCATGCGAAATAGAATTTGTGCAAATATGAACTAGCTGAGGGACGTGATGAGATTCTGTGGACTTGGGACAGGAGATCAGAGGGGCACTCGACTGCGCTGAGAAGTCTCTCTGGGCTGGCGCCTATGGTGTTGAACCTGTTGTAAGTCACAGGTCCTACTGGTCATCAGGTCCAGGTCCAGGTCCAGGTCCAAGGCCACCTCTGACCCACACCCAGGGCACCAGCACCATGTCACCTACTTGCTACACGGGATGCAGAGTTCAGAGGACTCCAGGTCCTGGTAGAAGTGGCCCGTTCGGCACTGGCACACCCGGTCGCTGGTTGGAGAGCAGTCCGCCACCATTTCTTCATCTGCAGTCCAGGGGAGACTGGGGTCAGCCTCGTGTGGAGCACCCCGTCCTCAAGCATACATGTGGGCCTACATCATCACTTGCAGTGGGAATACAGTCTGTCCCCTGTAGGGGACTTAACCAGCCATAGCAGGTGCACGAGGGGTTCCCCGGTGCTGAATCCTGAACAACAGCGCTACAGGCACATTCCCACACGTGCTCACACACACGTCTCCAGGATAAATATTTAGACCCGGGGTACCGGCTCAGAGGCTTGCGCTTCAGCGTTTCTAAGCATGGCCTCACACTGCCACCGTAGGCCTCTGTGAAAGGTGGTCCCAACGCACACACTCACCACTCTACCGAGGGTCCGCTCTCTGACACGGCCCTTTCCACGGCCTCTGACGCGTTTACACACGTCTGCAGCCTGTCAGTATGTAATCTGTGTGTGTGTTTGCTCTGTAAAAGCCCCTAGTGAATCCGAACATCTTCTCATGCACTTAAAGCCGTCCTTTGTGAGGGTCATTGCAGGACCCGTGGGCTCGGGGTGTTCACTTTGTTAAACTCACCAGCCAGACTTCTCATGATCAAGATTGAAATGCTTTGTGAGGGCCGGCCCGTGGCTCACTCGGGAGAGTGTGGTGCTGATAACACCAAGGCCACGGGTTCGGATCCCATATAGGGATGGCCGGTTTGCTCACTTGGGCGGGCGTGGTGCTGACAACACCAAGCCAAGGGTTGAGATCCACTTACCAGTCATCTTAAAAAAAAAAAAGTTGCTTATTCTCTGAGGGGTAAATTTCATCTTCTTACTGTTTTTGTGTGGGTGGGTTTTCCAAGTTTTCAGGTTTGAATGTACTAATTTGCAATTAGAATTAAATAGTTAAACGGGCCGGCCCAGTGGTGCACTGCTACAGTGCGCCGCTTGGGAGCGCGGCTGCGCTCCCGCTGAGGGTTCGGATCCCACATACAGACCGGTTCCCGCTCACTGGCTGAACGAGGTGCGGGTGCAACACTGAGGGTTGCAATCCCGTTGCCGGTCCCGGTCCGGTACGGGCGCGACACTGAGGGTTGCGATCCGTTGCCGGACACGAAAAAAGACAAAAAGAAAAAAAAAAGAATTAAATAGTTAAAAATGACAAAACGTTGTTTCAAATTTCAGATCAGAGTGCAACTCCGTTTTTCATCACAGCGCGCTCACTCTTAACATACGTTGGGAACAATTTCTTACGGGGATAAAAGTTCTCCAGCCTATTCCTAGCACCTGCCAAGCACTGTGCTTTGTGACTCTGCTGTCCTCTCTTTGATTAAAGGCTGGATTAATGGGCACTTGCCTTTCCTAAGTTTCCATAACTAAACAGTGAAGATTCTTATGGCTAAATATTTAAGGCTCAACTTTAGGGGCTTCTTTAGGGCATGTTGCTAGCCTGGCCACTGCTGGGTCAAGGGGCTGCAGTTTCAACATCAAGGAACGTGACTCACTCTCGAGGCAGGTGGAGCATAGAAAGCAGGAGTCCAGGCCGTTGGGGAAGGCCGTGAAGGTCCCTTGGTCACATTCCTTGCACTTTCCCTGGGTGCTGGGGCTCACACAGTGTTTTTCGACATACTCACCTGTGGGAGAGGTCAGGCAGAGGTCAGATCCTGCACCAGGGTGCACCTGTGTTCCTGGGTCGAGCTGTCTGTCCACCCAGTCCTAGGAAGCCCACTCTTCAATTGAGTACATGGAAATAGTTATGTCTGGGAGTTTAGGATCAAAATAGTCTCTGGATTGTTATGACATCCTAGAAACGACTAAATGACAAACTGCTTTGGTGGCCTTCAAGCGCTCTGGTTACCTGCATGACACACATCCCAAGGTCCTCTGACCTCAGAAAGTGAGGCCCATGGAGGGTGCACATGTGGTCAGTGGAAGAACAGCTCTCTGCCTCCCCAGCCCAGGCTGGCCACCCAACTGCCCCAGTTGGAAATGACAGTCATGATGGCTGTCTGAAGTGTCAGGGCCCAACTTCCTCCCATCTGAGTTGTGATTCTGGTTTCCTCTGAAGGGACCTGAGATCTGAGACAAAAGTCCACGCATTCCATCCAATATCTGGTAAACATTTCACTTGGACAGCAGGGGCTTCCTCACGCATGTTCCCTAAGGGCCGGCAGGGCTTTCTCCTAGAAGGCTTCCCCAGGACCTTTTCCCACCCCACCAGCCCTCCACCAGCCTCCTCGGTATGTGCCTCTGGACTGTGATCTTAGAAGAGTTTAGGTGGTCCTAGGAACTTCCTTTCACATTAATAGATACATATTTACCTCATTATACAGTAGGAAAAAAATCAACCAGCACAGCGAATACGTGACTTTGTGGATATCATTGCTTGGGACGGGAAGTTGTGCAGTGCTTTATCTACTTCTGCAGAGGGTGGGAGTTACAAGTGTGGGACACAGGTGAGCCCACCTCCCAGACCTTCCATAGCAGAACATTCACCCCTACCCTCCTGAACCCAGCCTGTAGCAACCGGCTGGACTGTGGTGTGATCCCGAATTCTGGGCACCCCTCATGGCGCTGTGTTCTTTTCAATGGTGCGAAGGTCACTCACAGAGGCTGAGGACCACAGAACATGCAAAGTCCACTCCAGAATAGAGACTCAGGGCCTAATGAGAGAGTCGGGTTGACTCTCTCCCCAGTACAACTGTCAGAAGCAGGACATTGAAAAAGGGAAAAGGGAGATAGAGATGGAAGTGTGAGGAAATCAACAACTTTTACAGGCAGGTCTGAAATGAACGAAGCTAACACATCTTGTGATACTTGGTTTGTGGCTCTTGTCTCTTTATGATCATCAGTACGGACTTTTCATCTACAGCAGTGACACAAACTTCCTTTTTGAAACAGACCTATTCACAATATAAAATTGAGTCAACCCAGACAGCAATCTTAAAATCAATCCCTAAATTCTGGGACCTGGCACAGTACATGACTGGCGAACGCTTGGGGAGCAGAGAGCAGTGTCCACGTGGGTGACAGATCCGAAATGGATACTCTGTGTTCAAAACCAGATGGTCTAGTAGGGTCAGTGTTTCTGCTGCTCTTTACAGACAAGCAGAGGGTGCTGGTGGAGGAGGAGTGAGCAGGGACACCTGCCTGGGGTCTATATGATAGGCACTGAGCAAAGCCCCCAGCCCTCCCCCTTCCCACCAAGAATAGCCTCCAGCTCTGCTCCAAAGGCCTCCCAAGTCCCCACTCTGGCCTGATCCCAGGTCTCACCGGCAGGACAGAAGTTGCAGCACCAGCCGGCAGACCAGTACTGGCCGTGTCCACATGACTCAGGGTCAGGCAACCACTGGCGCTGCTGGAAAACCCGTGGGACTGGGGCAGCCACCTGCAGGTGGAAAAGAAGAAACATTTCACTAACAGCCCACGTTTATCAGCTGGTCAGAAGAAGAGGAAATGATGGGGTGAGAAGAAGAGGATATGATGGGGTGAGAAGAAGAGGCGGGGCCAGAGGAAGAGGCGTGGCCAGAGGCAGAGGAAGAGGCGTGGCCAGAGGCAGAGGAAGAGGCGTGGCCAGAGGAAGAGGCGTGGTCAGAGGCAGAGGAAGAGGCGTGGCCAGAGGAAAAGGCATGGCCAGAGGCAGAGGAAGAGGTGGGGCCAGAGGAAGAGGCGTGGCCAGAGGCAGAGGAAGAGGCGTGGCCAGAGGAAAAGGCATGGCCAGAGGCAGAGGAAGAGGTGGGGCCAGAAGAAGAGGCGTGGCCAGAGGCAAAGGAAGAGGTGGGGCCAGAGGAAGAGGAAGAGGCAGGGTCAGAAGAAGAGACAGAGGCAGGGGAGGAGGTGCTGCTATAGACTGGGTGCCACCCCCAACCTTATAGAAGCTTAGTTCCCACTGTGACTGTTAAGAGGGTGGGAAATCCTATTATGGTCATTGAGAGGTGGGGCCTTGACGAGGTGATTGGATTGTAGGACCATGATGTAGCAAATAGGCTAATAATGGTGGTTGAGGGGCATGGTTCTGGGGGCTTTTAAAAGGGAGCATGTAAGACTCTCTCTCTGCTCCACAACTTTCTGCCATGTGAGACCTCCTGGGTCACTGTCACCACCACCAAGACCTTCACCAAATGTGTTCCCTGGACTTTGGACTTCCCAGTCTCAGAAACTGTACGCAATAAATTTCATTTTCTTTATAGAATACCCAGTTGTGTGTATTTTGTTATAAGCAACAGAAACAGACTAATACAGAAAACTGGCACCAGAGAAGTGGGGTGTTGCTTATAACAAGTACTTGAAAATGTGGAAGCAGCTTTGGAACTGAGTGCTGAGGAAAGGCTGGAAGAATTCAAAGGAGCAGGCTAGAAAAAGCCTAGCTGCTAATGGGAGTTTAGAAGACAAGAAAACAAGCAGAGACTAGGAACGTTTTAGAGACTGGTTACATGGTGGTGACCACAATGCTTATGGGAATATGGACTGTAAAGACCATTCTAAGGAGGTCTCAGACAGAAATAAGAAGTTTATTGAAAACTGGGGCAAAGATCATCCTTACTGTGAACTGGCAAAAAACTTGGGTGCATTGTGTCCATGTCCTAGGACTTTGTGGAAGTTGGAAATTAAGAGTTTTAATCCAGGGTATTTGGCAGAAGCAATTTCTAAGCAGCAAAATATTCAGGAAGCTGCATGGCTACTTGTAACAGCCTATGCTGAGTTATGGCATAAAAATCATGATGTAAAGCCAGAATTTAAAAGGGAAGCAGAGCATAATGATTTAGAAAATTTGCAGCCTGGCCATATGGTAGAGAAGCCGAGAGCATTTTCAGGAGAACAATTCAATGGTGTAGCCCAGCTACCATTTGCTAAGGAAATGTGTACAGAAGAGAGGGATTGTCAAGAGAAGGAAAAAAGGCCTTAAAGCCATTTCAGAGATCTTGGAGGCTGTATCTTCCATTACAGGCCCAGAGGCCTAGGGAGACAGAATGGTCTCAGGGAATAGGCTCCATGGGCTCACTGTCCAGGGTCACCTTGGGAAGCTGCATCCAGCACCAGCACCTCAGTGGCTTTGGCTGCTCCAGCCATGGCTAAATTGTCCCCAGGTGTGGCTGGGCCCCAGCTTTGGATAATACAAGCCAGAAGTCTTGGCAGTGTCCACGTGGTGTTAGGTCTCCAGGCTTGCAGAATGCCACAGCTGGGAAGGCTTGGGAGCCTCCACTCTGATTTCAAAGGATGTATGGAAAAGCCTGGGGGCCCAGGAAGAGCTCTGTCACAGTGGTGGAGTCACTGAAGAAAGCCTTCACTAGAGCAGTGCTGGGTGGAAATGTAGGGTCGGAGTTGTAATAGGGAAACACTGTCAGCACCATGCCTAGTGAAGCCATGAGAGCAGGACTGCCATGGAGACGCCAGACTTGTGGAGCTACCAAAGTGCAACACTAGCCTGAGAGAGCTGAGGCATTGCCTGAGACCAGGAAAGCCATAGAAGTGGGGCTGCCTGAGGACTTGGGGACCCAACCCCACACCAGCATGCAGAGGATGTCGAACATGGAGTCAAGGTACGTGATTCACCAGCTTTGAGATTTAATGCCTGCCATGCTGGGTTTTGGACTTGTTTGGGACTTGTTACTTCTTTTGGCCTATTCCTCCCTTTTCAAACAGGAATACGTACCCTATGTTTGTCCCACCATTGTATCTTAGAAGTAGATAACTTGTATTGATTTCACAGATGGGACTTTGAACTTTGGGCCTTTGAGTTGAAACAAATTAAGACTTTGGGGACAAAATGAATGTATTTGTTTGTGAAAAGAGCATGATTTTGGGGGGGTGAGGGGTGGGATGTTGTAGATTGGATGCCCCCCTAACCTCACTGAGACTCAATCCCCACTGTAACAGTTGAGGGTGGGAAATCCTATTATGGTAATTGAAAGGTGGTGCCTTTACCAGGTGATTAGATTGGACCATGAGTGGATTAATAATGGTGGCAAGGGGTGTGGTTCTGAGAGCTTTAAAGGGAGAGCATATGAGAGTCTCTCTCTACTGTGCAACTTTTTGCCATATGAAACCCCTGGGTCACTGTTGCCACCATCAAGGCTGTCACCAAATGTGCTTCCTGGGCACTGGACTTCCCAGCCTCAGAAACTGTAAGCAATAAATTTCATTTTCTTACAAAGTACCCAGCTCAAAGTATTTTGCTATAAGCAACAGAAATGGAGTAATACATGTGGGGTCAGAAGAATAGAAAGGGGCAGAGGAAGAGGTGGGGTAAGAAAAGAGGCAGAATCAGAGGAAGAGACAGAGGCAGAGGAAGAAGAAGAGGCAGGGTCAGAGGAAGAGGCAGAGTAAGAGAAGAGGTGGGGTCACAAGAAGAGATGCAGCAGAAGAAGAGGAAGAGATGTGGTCAGAGGAAGAGGAAGAAGTGGGGTAAGAGAAGAGGTCGAATCAGAGGAAGAGACAGAAGCAGAGGAAGAGGAAGGGGTGGGGTCAGAGGAAGAGGAACAGGCAGGGTCAGAGGAAGAGGCAGAGTAAGAGAAGAGGTAGGGTCACAAGAAGAGATGCGGCAGAAGAAGAGGAAGAGATGTGGTCAGAGGAAGAGGAAGAAGTGGGGTAAGAGAAGAGGCAGAATCAGAGGAAGAGACAGAAGCAGAGGAAGAGGAAGAGAAAGAGGTGGGTTCACAGAAAGAGGAATGGGTGGGGTCAGAGGAAGAGGAAGAGATGTGGTCAGAGGAAGAGGAAGAGGCGGGATAAGAGAGGAGGCAAGGTCAGAAGAAGAGGTGGAAGAAGAGGAACAGGCTGGGTCAGAGGCAGGGGAAGAGGTAGAGCCGAGAAGAGGTAGGGTCAGAAGAAGAGGAAAAAGTAGGGTCAGAAGAAGAGGCAGGGTCAGAGGAAGAGAAAGAGGTGGGGTCAGAGGAAGAGAAAGAGGTGGGGTCAGTGGAAGAGAAAGAGGTGGGGTCAGAGGAAGAGAAAGAGGTGGGGTCAGAGGAAGAGAAAGAGGTGGGGTCAGAGGAAGAGAAAGAGGTGGGGTCAGAGGAAGAGAAAGAGGTGGGGTCAGAGGAAGAGAAAGAGGTGGGGTCAGAGGAAGAGAAAGAGGTGGGGTCAGAGGAAGAGAAAGAGGTGGGGTCAGAGGAAGAGAAAGAGGTGGGGTCAGAGGAAGAGAAAGAGGTGGGGTCAGAGGAAGAGAAAGAGGTGGGGTCAGAGGAAGAGAAAGAGGTGGGGTCAGAGGAAGAGAAAGAGGTGGGGTCAGAGGAAGAGAAAGAGGTGGGGTCAGAGGAAGAGAAAGAGGTGGGGTCAGAGGAAGAGAAAGAGGTGGGGTCAGAGGAAGAGAAAGAGGTGGGGTCAGAGGAAGAGAAAGAGGTGGGGTCAGAGGAAGAGGGGGGGTCAGAGGAAGAGAAAGAGATGGGGTCAAAGGAAGAGGAAGGAGTGGGGTCAGAGGAAGAGGAAGGGGTGGGGTCAGAGGAAGAGGAAGGAGTGGGGTCAGAGGAAGAGAAAGGGGTGGGGTCAGAGGAAGAGAAAGAGGTGGGGTCAGAGGAAGAGGTGGGGTCAGAGGAAGAGAAAGAGGTGGGGTCAGAGGAAGAGGTGGGGTCAGAGGAAGAGAAAGAGATGGGGTCAGAGGAAGAGGAAGGGGTGGGGTCACAGAAAGAGGAAGAGGTGGTGCTGTAGATTAGATGCCCTCCTCCTTATTGAAGCTTAGTCTCCACTGTAACTGTTGATGGTGGAAGTCCTATTATGGTCATTTAAAGGTGGGGCCTTGAGGAGATTTAGATGGTAGGACCAGCTGTAGTGAATGGATTAATAATGGTGGCCAGGGGTGTGGTTCTGAGGGCTTTAAAAGGGGAGCTTGTGAGAATCTCCCTCTCTCTACTCTGCAACTTTCTGCCATGTGCGACGCCTGGGTCACTGTCACCACCATCAAGACCCTCACCAAATGTATTTCCTGGGCATTGGACTTCCCAGCCTCAGAAACTGTAAGCAATAAATTTTCTTTTCTTACAAAGTACCCAGTTCCAAGTTTCTTGTTATAAGCAACGAAAACAGACTAATCTATGTGGGGTCAGAAGAAGAGACGAGGGTAGAGGAAAAGGTGGGGCACGAGGAGAGGTGGTGTCAGAGGAAGAGGAAGAGGCAGGGGCACTAGCACACGGGGAGGATTCCTGGATCAGGGCATCCCCTACCTTCTCTGGAGTTTATCTACTTGAGCCAAGAAATCTCCCTTTTTTCTTTGCACATGTGCACTTTAGAAGAACTTATATTCTGTTTTTGGGTGGAATGTTCTACTGATGTCTGTTAGGTCTAGTTGGTTTATGGTGGTATTTGTTTTCCTATTTTCTAGTTGATTCTCTGCCTGCTTGTGCTGTCCATAATGAAAGTCAGTACAGAGGAAAACTTACAGCTGTAAATGCCAATGTT